GGCCATATCTTTGGTTCCTCGCTAGCTGCCGGCTCGATCCGCTTCCCTCCTTCTGATCTCCTTGTTCCCCTGACTTCGGCGACCGGTCTAGATTCGTCGCTCGTTTCCCGGATTTCGGCGCCCTGTCCGTATTCCTCGCTCGTTCCTTGCTCCTGCTCCGTGCTTTGCCCCAAAACGACTGCTATCTGCCGCGTAGGCACTTCCTCTACCGTTGGGCGCATCTATTTCCCCCCGTCCTCTGCCAATTCCAGGGGCAGCTATATTGAATATGCCCTCGCTCTTGACACCAATAACACCGTCTATCGTCCCTCACTCGTCTCATTGTACTGCGCCCGCTTCTCCGTCCATTCCCCCTACTCCCTCGCCCTGTCCCTCGGGATCGCATCCTGAATACTATTTCATAGTTCCCGTAAATCGAGCTTCTGGACAAACTCAGAGCGTGATTAGGATTCATTTGATTATTCACCTAAAGCGCCCAACGGTAGAGGAAGTGCCTACGCGGCAGATAGCAGTCGTTTTAGGGCAAAGCACGGAGCAGGAGCAAGGAACGAGCGAGGAATACGGACAGGGCGCCGAAATCCGGGAAACGAGCGACGAATCTAGACCGGTCGCCGAAGTCAGGGGAACAAGGAGATCAGAAGGAGGGAAGCGGATCGAGCCGGCAGCTAGCGAGGAACCAAAGATATGGCCGATAATTGATCTTACGGATGAGAGTGAGGGACTGAATGGTATTACGGGGGGAGATAGGACCGCGGAATCAGAACAGGTAGGAGATAGTACAGGAGTAGAAGTAACTGAAGAATGGCAAGACCTGGTGGCGGTGTTGGATGATGTAGAGGAGCTGGGAGAATGGCTGGATATCGTGGTGGAGGAGTCGGAGGGGGGTAGCCTCTGGGAGGAGTAGTTGGAGGATCGAGTCTGTTGAAAGGGGGCGTGTCGAGGAACAATATCGAGGAACATTAACGAGGAATATTATGAAAGAAATAACGAGGAACATTATTGAGGAACATTATGAAAGTTTATTATTTATTATTATTTTTTTTTTATCGAAAAGGAAAGAATTATTATTATTATGTTTTTTTTTATCGAAAAGGAAAAAAATTATTTATTATTATTTTTATTTTTGTTTTGTGATGAATAACGATGATGGGGTAGAAAGTGAATATCAGAAACCTGCAGAGCTGATATTTTTTTAAAAAAATTTTTAAGGCCCGGCCCGGAATTTAAAATTTAAGGCCCGGCCCGGATATAAGTATATTTCATATTTTATTCAGATATTTAATTACAAATTGATACTATAAAAAATTTGTGCAAATAATATTTTTGAATATAAAAGATTCTATTTGTGATTTTTAATTTTTATTTAAAAAATACATGTAATAAGCTAATATTTTGAGAATATTATATTAAATTTATAAAAATTATAAAACTGTTATTTATAAAAATGGATATTTTGAGCATATACTATATTTTATATTGCATTTATAAAAATAAAACTAATATTCATAAAAATGGTAATAATATTTTGAGCATATACTATATTTTATATTGCATATAAAAATAATAAAACTAATATATAATTTATAAAAATGGAAAATATTTTGAGAATATAATATATTGTATTTAATTTATAAAGTAAAAATAAATCGCTATTTAAAAAAATGCATGTATAATAAATAGTATTTTGAAAATATAATCAAATTGCACAATATTAATATAATTTATTTTATAATATAAATTTTAACAAAAGAAGATAATTGTATTATATAATATATTGTAAAAAAAAATAAGAAAAAACTTTCATGACTCAAGGTAAAATATAATAAATGCAATAAATATTTGACAGTTTGCAAAGTAAAAAACCAGCATGATTGACGAAACCCTATACTCAAGAAAGATATTAAAAATTCACAAATTATCATGAAGAAAGAGAAGCATATCTACCTTTTCAGGTTGAAGATTACTTCTTCTTTCTTCAAGAATTCTTCCAGTAGTGGAAAAATTCCGCTCACAGCTTGCACTTGAAGCAGGAATAGCCAATACCCGTTTTGCCAATTTTGCTAAAATTGGGAATTCGCTTTGATGAGAAGCCCACCACTCTAACAAATTATCCACCTTAAATGTTTCATCTATTTTTTTATTTATGTAATTATAATATTCATCATCGGGTATTGACATATTACCAGAATTACCATCGCCCCATTTGTCATAAAACGATTCAGTTTGTTTAACAACAGTCGTAATTTGACTGGTCGATGGTATTTCATTTACTTCCTGAGCCTCTTGTGATTTAATATAATCTTTTATATAGTTTTCCGTCATCTTGCGATCTGTCCCTGACAACATACGTAATTGTTTGAATTTGGGACAGAGAAAAAGAGAAATAAAATGATACTTGTGTAAAACAAATTTTTCAATTAAAAAATGCTTTATATTAAGTAATATCAATTTTATTTCTCTTTTTTCGCTTTGAAAGGTATTACAAACTTCAAGAAGTTCATAATACCATATTACCACTTTAAAAAGAGTACAAGAGTCCGACTGTAACTCAACAATAGCTCTGTTAAAATTCTCAAGAATGTTGACTAGATCCTGAAGGATCGGAAAGTCTATAATATAATACTTTTCCGATCCCCCATGTTCTAGAAGAACTTTTTTAATTTCTTCATTTTGAGAATAAACAGAATTGAGCATATTGTATTTAGAGTTCCAGCGGACTTCTATATCTTGATAAAGGGCTTTTAAATGCTGGCATTTATTACTTTGTTTTAAATGCCCCACTAATATTTTAGTATTATCTATTGTTGATTTTATTAATGGGGCATTACTTTCCAAATATTTGGAGTTAAATGAATTTCTTAAAATTGTATTTAATAAATGACAAGAACAATTTAATCGTTCATTTAACTCCAATGCTTTTATAATATTTTTACCTTGGTCTGTAACAAAAATTATATTAATAAAATCGTTATTGTTAAAACTAAAATTATGAAAATTTTTTAATAGTTCATCCTTAACTACTTGGCTAGTCTTAGACACTTCTTTAAATTTAGCGGTAAATAGGTTTCTCTTCACTAACTTCCAGTCATCTAATATATAGTGCATGTTAACTGTTATAAACGAGTTCTTTTTATGGTCATCGCACCATATATCAGTGGAAGCAGCCATAAATCGATTCTTGATTACTGGGGCAATAGTATCAACCAAAATGGTTCTTATTTTATTACATTTTTCTTTAAGGTGGCGTGATAGAGTGGTGGGATGTGAAATTAATGAGTTGATATCTATTTTACCTATGTTGCCCCAACATCGACTAGAGCCTGGCTGAATTCAAGAAACCCATTCCCAGCTATCATTTCGAAAGGTCTAATATCTTTTGCGCAAAGTGTTAAGGAATGATCTATAAATTTTTGTTTTAAATATTTCATATTACATTTATAAGTGGGTTTTTCAGGTGTAAAAAAAAATTATTAATTTTCATGGATTTACCATCACATTTATGTCTTTTTAAATGTGATGTACCATGGTTATAATTATAAGATAATAAATTTGAACAATTTATGCATTGCACATAGCCAATATTTTTTTTATTATTATTATCTATGATTATTTTAAATTTAGTCCAAATATCAGATTTTAAAGTATTATTAGTATTTTTAAAAGAATAAATATTATTTTTAATTTTGTCAATTATATCATTAGTGTTTTGTGCCATGATATTCCTTTTATTGATTGTTTTGGAAATATTCTAAAAATTTAGATATGAATTATAAGATTTATATTTAATATTAATTTTTACTTTAGCTTCTTGAATGCTTAAAATTGATTGAGTATCACTAATTCTAATGATAATAAATATTAATTAATTATTTATATCTTACATTGATTATAAATATCTAATATCAATATTTATTAAATAATGTAGATTGAAATTATTATATTTATTTATTATAATAAATTTAAACTGAATATTATAGTTATAAGAAAAAATATGTTATTAAAATTTTATATTATTTACAAAAAGATTCAATCTAATTTGAAATAGATTTTATAAACTAATACATGAAGCTAAAAAATATCAATGTACATTTTTATTTTAAGAGAATAATTTAAATTTTGAAATCATTTATTCTGAAAATTTTATCAATGTTTAAATTTAATTTTACAATAAGATAAAATTATTAGCAAAATAGAATTTTTTATTACTTAAATCTGTTTATGGGATATATCCACTTCTAAACTATTCTTCTAACACAACTGTTCTAAGTCTAACTTCTAGGTAAGTAATTTAAAATGGAGTTTTCCGGTATCTTTCAGGAAATTAATAATTAGATCGATCTGTGGGTGTTAGGTAGTGTTAACCATCACCCAATATTATATTAATCATAACTATAATATAATATAATCTTATAACCAATAACTCATAATGTAAAATTTTTTATAAAAAATATTAAGGCCCGGCCCGGGTTTAAAAATCTTAGGCCCGGCCCGGATATATTTAAAAAAAAATTTTTAGGCCCTGCCCGGATATGTTTAAAAAAAATTTTTTTAGGCCTGGCCCGGGTATATTTAAAAAATTTAAAATACGGCCGGGCCGGCTTGCAGGTCTTTGGTGAATATATAATGGAAGCAAAAGAAATAAAATGATTATGATATGTTTTATTTTGTAATTTTTAATTGATGTATGTTGCGTGAAAAAAAAATAAAAGGAAATAAAAACCTACCGTAAGTAAAAATAGTAAAAAACCATTTCAATATAGGATATTTTGGCGAATCAATGAAAATAATCTACCTAATCAAAAATTCTACCATTACGTGATGCTTTAAATTAAAAAAAAATAAAATAATCAAATTAAAAAGAATTTGATGAGTGCTGTTCAAAATGTCAACCATAGTCAAGTGTCACCTAATCACTAGGAGGGTTTACATGAGACACTTATGTGGACCCCCTTCCAAGCAATTCATTATTTTTATTTTATATTCCATTAAACGCAACTTACACACCCTACATCACTTAGGATAAACGAATATGGAGGCAAATTGTTCCCATCCCAAACCAGATTAAAACGGCTGATCAGGAGTGACATCCAATCACGGCAACGATAAAATGGCATATAATTGTTTACAATCTTCTTTTTAATAAAAAAAACAAATAAATAAAATAGTAAATTACCTTGCCTACGTTTTTAGCACCCTCATCAGGTATTATATAATCGTTAATGAAAGGCTGGACAAAGATGGCGGATTTTGAGCTAATTTCTTTCGCGGTAAAATTGTATTCCTCCGATAATTCTTTTTCGAAAACGGGATCTGGACACCTATTTTTTTTATAAACACAACATTTAAAAAAAATATAGAAGCTACGTCAAAATAGTAATCGAATCAATCATTTGCCCCCTTAATATTGACTAAAAATTACTTACTTATTTAATGATATTGGCATTTAAGATTGACGTGAATACATTTATTATTATATTTTTTAGTGATATTGATATTTTTGACTGACGTTTAAATATTAAATATAATAAATTTAGTGATATTGACATTTTTGATCGACGTGTAAAAATTAAATATAATGATATTGACTTTGACACATATATGTGTCATACCACATTAATAAGTATAAATATAAAGTATATACAGTTAAAATGACTAAAACTATAAAAAATTTAACAAATCAATGATTTTTATATAATAGATTTTACTACCTTTGCTCTAACAGGTTTTGATTGTAACTCATTGGTAGTTTTATCAAATCTTGTATTACACCTTCGACAAGTGTCACAAGAATTAATAAATTTTACTACATGATCTTTCATATTTGGCCACGAGAAGCTAAAATATAATATTGAAATTTTTATTTTTACCTATCACTACAAAAGTGGGGTTAATAATACCCCACGGCTTTTATAATCTTGGTAATAAAAAAAGCCTTAAGAAATTTTGACCTAGTTTTTATAGTAGTTTAATATTTTGTTAAAAGGAATATATCTACCAAATTTCAAGATAAGTGATTTGATATTTTTTAAAATATTTGCAATTTGTTGAGCTAGGGGTAGTTACTTACGAAATTTTTTTTATCCAAATTTTTTTAATTAATATATATTATTGTATATTACAAACTAATATACAAAGTTGTAAAGCCAAAAAAAAATTCTTATGGACTGAATCCAATATATTCGAATTTAAAATTTTTCATTTTTATATTTGTGACCCAAAATTTTATACTATTTTTTTTTCTTGTGGAGCTAAATACTATAAAACGAGCATATGGAAAATTTAGTATCGTCAAGTTTGGAAGTATTTTCTGTTTAATATTTATAACATTTTATATAGGTGAAGTAGATTGTGAGTCAAGTGATGATTATTTATATGACAGTAATCACAATTCGGAAACAGAGGAAGATAATATAAATAGTGAAGAGTGTGAAGATAATTATAAATATTGTTACAGTTACAGTAAAATATGCTATCTTTTAATAAGTTATATAAAAAAATTAAGGTAAAGATTGTAAAATAAAATGGAATAAGGAATGCCTTCCTCAACAAAGAACTAGATCCCATAATATAATTTCTTGTTTGCCAGGGGTTAAATCACATGCAAAAATACCTCAACAATTATTACAGATTTAATTTTAAAAAACACAAATCAAAAGATTGCTCTTCAAAAAGATGACTCTATTTAGCATACTAAAATGGATGAAAATGAATTTAATGCTCTGGTTGATTTGCTAACGATAGCCGGTGTTGTTTATAAATCAAACTATCAAAATATAAGAGATTTACAGAATAAGGATGGATTTGGTAATACATTTAGATATAGCATGAATATAAATAGATTCCAATTTCTATTGAAAGTTCTAAGATTTGACAATATGAATACAAGTGATACAAGGAAAGCAAATGATAAAGCAACACATATTAGAGAAATTTTTAATGATAATTGCAATAATTCTTATACTGTTGGACAATATGTTACTATTGATGAAATGCTTCCTGCATTTAAGTGCAAGTATCCATTCAGGCAATATATGCCAAATAAGCCATCAAAATATGGTCTTAAAATCTATGCTCTATTGGATTCTAGGACTTTTTATACATTAAAAACAGAATTATATGCTGGTAATCAGCCAGAAGGACCTTATAAATTGCCAAATAAACCATTTGAAATAGTTGAAAGATTTATTCAAAAAATTTCAAGGACTAATAGAAATATTAAAACTGACAATTGGTTTACAAGCTATGAATTAGCCAATCATTTGTTAAATTCTCATTTCTTAACCTTAGTAATAACTATAAAAAACAGATACCTGCTTTATTTTTTGATAAAAAAAAGAGTTATAAACCAAAGTTTATTTGTATTTAAAATACAACTCTAGTTTCATACATACCTAAAAAGTATAAAAATGTAGTGCTGCTTTCTACACTACATTAAGAACACTACATTATGATAAAAAAAATTGATGCATCAACTGGTGACTTAAAAAAACCTAAGAAAGAAAGTATCTCTTTTCTCTTTTATAACATTTTATAATTTAACAAAAACTGGAGTTGATGTAATTGATAACTATGCTCCATATATTTTATATTGAGAAAATCGAATAGATGGCCCTTTAGCATTTTTTATACAATGGTATATATATCCATAATAAATGCACTCATCTTTTATAAAGCTAAATAAATTGAACATGAAAAGATATAAATTTATAAAATTATTAACAATAGAGCTCATTAATCCATATATGAACAAAAGATATGAGAATTCTCATTATAATAACAACATTGGGGGTGTTCTCAATATTACTGATGAAAAACCTACTACATCAAATAAAAAAGGAAGATTCTACGATTGCCCAAGGGTAGACAAAGAACAACCTTTATTTCTTCAAATTGTTCAAAATTTATTTGTAAAGATCATATGAATACATTTTGTCGTGATGTTATTGTAAAAATTTACATGATATTTTGATGATTAATATTTTGATATTTGATATTTTTTTTATAAAATTTATGTAATTATCATTATTCAACATTGAATTAATAAAAATATATAATAAAATTTGCATTTTTTAAATTTTTTGGTGATAACACTATAATTAAAAGGTCTCAAAAAAATTTTATTTCAGCAACTTTAGGAAAATTTGCAAAACTTTATTTTAGAAGTAACTATTAATCTAAGATTTTTTATTTATTATCTTCAATAATTTCTTAATATATATTCAAAATTTTAGATCTCGAACTTTAATATGTTCTGAGATATAGCTAATCAAAATTTGGGATAAAATAGACCCCACCTTTGTAGTTAAGGGAGTTTTTTCCAACTTTGTAGTGGAGGGTTAAATTAGATACTATTTTTTTTTCTTGTGGATCAAATAATAAAACTCTTATGGACAAAAACATGAATTTGTGAAATATTGGAAGAATTTATTTAAACACAATCAAAATATTTTACTTATCAGCCAATTTTTTATGGGTCTTGTTAATACCAAAATGGCCAGCAGGTGGAATTGCTTCAATATTATTATCACAACCACTGTAAACTGTTTTAATGAGTTCTTTTCTTCTAGTAGGGTTCATTATAACTTCCCCATTGTGTGTATGGTGAAATAATTTATGAAAGTGTATTCTAAATTTGGAGGCTTTAACACGCAAATTTTTTCTCACCGTTGTTGCCTGCTAAACGAATTGGATATTTTTTTATATAATATGAAGTTTTTTATTTCTTCATAATCTAAAAAAGTTATATAAAATTTAAATATTTAATTTACTAACTTCATATCAATTGTTATTTAGGAAATAAGGTGGATCCTATCCTATCCTATCATACACTGGTGAGACATCCCACAATTAAGTAGGTACTCAACCACCCCATAGAGGGCGTATCCAGTGCAGTGAATTTGCATTCATTGTTGGCAGAAAATTTACCCTACTGTCTGGGTCCGTTTAATTAAAGAGGAATAACGGTACCTCTCGTGGAAGCCAGGAACCACAAATTTTGATAGTAATTTACCCTACTACCAAAGCCCGTTTAATTAAAGAGGAATAACGGTACGTCTCGTGGATAAGCAGACATCCACAAAAAAAAATGTCAGTAATTTGCCCTACTAACAGAGGCCCGTTTAATTTAAGAGGAATTACGATACCTCTCACGGAACAGCAGGCATCCGTTAATAATGAAATTATTATAAGAAAGAGAAAAAAGAGAAAAATAAGAGGAAAGAGAAGAAAAAAGAGAAAAATAAGAGGAAAGAGAAGAAAGAAGATAAAAAGATGTGAGGTATTGAATTTAATTAGACACATGATATTTAAATAACTTTATTTAAATTTTATCAATTATAAAAAAAAAAATAAGAAATAAATAAATAATATAATAATATAATGTACAATAATATTAATTTAATTATATATAAGTGGATAAATATAGTTTAGATAAATAAATGAAAAAAGGAAAAAAAGTTAAGGGAAAAAAATTAATCAAGAATGGCTTGGTTAAGCCAAAATTTTAGATCTGTTTTGTTTTGAGAGATATTAATGAGAAATAAGTTGCTGACATTGTTAATTTTCAAGATGTACAAAATATGACCAAACCAAGAATTATGATATAGATAATATTGTTTTTTATTTTTAGATTTGGATGATTTATATAAAATGGCATCTGAGATGGTACTATGATGTTCATGTCTTAAAGAATGGCAAAAAAGTTCAATTTTTCTGTAAGTTAAAAGTCTGTATAAGGGAAGGATATTACAAGTATTAAGAAGACTAAAATTGGAAATAATTAAAGGATATTTAATATTTAAAATATTTCTTAGGGATTTATTTAGAGGTTTGTGTTTTTTTGAGATGGGATCTGGTGTTATCCCATGTCTCTATTCCATAGGTTAATGATGGGAGAATATAGGATTTGAATATTTGAATTTTAAATTTGTTGGAAATAAGGTTGGCCAAAATTTGTTGAGAGAGTAAAATTTTTTTGTAGCTTTGGATAATGCAGATGAAAAATTTGGATTGACTGAACCTTTGAAATTGATTGAAATACCAAGATAATTTATTGAGTTATTGAAATTGATAATTTTGTTATTAAATAAGAAATGTTGAACTTTAGGCGAGGATGATAGAAAAAGGTTTTATTACGATTGATTTTTAAATTCATTAATTGTAGATTAGAAGTTATTGTTGATAAAATGTGATTAATATAATTTAGATCTTCAGTGATAATACATACATCAGCATAGCATAACCAATCAACATTTTGAAAGTTACAGTTATGAATTAAATTACTAATTAATAGATTAAAAAGATAAGGAGAAAGTGGACA